AGTTTTCAGAGTCCTACAATCTTTCTTAAGATTTCTTGTGATGGAGACTTCTTGCTACCAATTCTTGTAGGTATATGAACAACTTCTTGCATAATCCGTTTGCTTTTTCTGATATCCTGATTGCTGGTTCTGGCTGGATCTATGTGCAATTAACTCTATAAATCATCTGTTACTGCAGGAGATTATGCTATTGAAAGAATTATAGAGGCCTTGTGGGGAGATGATAATGGGGTAATTTGTTAATTGTGATATTTGTTGTTAATTTTGTTATCTTTGTAGTATTGATTCCAAGAAACATGTTGGTGCAGGATTCTCCAGATCTATTCCAGTTTGTGAAAAATGTTGTGGAAAAGCTAGGCTATGAAGTATGGAGTTAATCTTCTCATGAATTTAAAACTTGCTTATGTCTTAAGTTTTGTCTGTTTCCTACTCTGTTTGCATTTTTTTTTTTTTTTTTTTGGATTCCATAATATCCTGCAGGTGATGAGTGCTCTCCAGAAAATGACAAGGGAAGTTGATTGGGGAAATCTTGATATTCTTGTGGTGGATGTGGATATGCCACCTGGGACAGGTGATGCACAGTTAACCATGTCCCAGAGGCTCCAGTTATCAGGTACCTTCTTCTTGTAAATTTATTTAAGGATTCATGCTTCAAAGTTGATATCATAACAAAATCTTGTGAACTTGGACTTACAAGATATTAAAGGATGTTGGTTGGTGTTTGAAGTCTGTGGGGGAGATAATTAACACAAAAGATGTGAATTAAAGAAAGGATAATAATATGTACAATGATGGTAGTGGGTATATATTTAATCACTGCCTAGCTTATTTAGTTTAACTTATGATTGGAGTTACAGTTACTAGTAGTTGCTTTGACAGGCTTTAGCCTGGGAATAACTAGACAACCCTAAAAGATACCTGCCTTGATGATAACCATTTGATGTTTTCTATGATGATTCTTCTTGAAATATTTATGGTAAGATCTAGTTTGAAAGTATTAGTTTTGAAATGTAACCCTGCCTTGGTAATTGTATGATTACTGGTGTTGGAATAAACTGATAACTTACTTTGTTGAAGGAGACCATTCACTTTTACTGAGTTGTAAATGTTTGAACTGAAATTTTCCTCCCTGCATTTCAGGTTAAAATGGTGAAGATTACTGAAAGAGTGATGAATACTTATTTTGCAAAATTATACATTGGAAAGGTAATTAGATTGTGTATCATTTTCATCTTCAAAATAGATGAACATAATTAACCTTCTGTTATTACAATTTGCAGCCAGGGGAACGTGATATTCTAAGTGTGGATGCACAGCCCTCAGATGCCATAAACTTAGCTAACAGATGCAAGGTATGAAGTCTTCACAACTCAGTTATAACATTAAAAACTTCAAATAGTAGTTGCTGTGTTTGACAGCAATGCTACACTTTATTTTAGTTCATTTGTTCCCTGCAACTTCTCTCAATGCTACACTTCTCCTTTCTGTTTATCAGTCATGCATTTGTTGCTCTTACAGTATAAAATGGACTTATAATTGCCTATTGGTTGTTGCAGCAATGTGGAGAGACAAGCTAATGAAACTTCGTAATTCACAAGATGATCATTAGCTGACCCTCCACGTAAGTCCACTCACCTTTAGGTGCTGGTTAATTGGCTTATAGGCACTCTCTTTTTGGGAGTGCAATGCCTGACCGAGAGTGTAAGGATATATTGTCCTGTTTGGCGGCAGCCCTGATTACTGTAGTTCAGATGTAGTTGACATCTCCAGGGATTTGTAGGATGAACACTTGCCAGAATGGAAGCTGTGGAGTCCTGGCCTAGCATTCTCAGTAATAAGGTAATATGCTAGGAACTAGTGTAAATGTGTAATTTAAGATGCTTGCTTGAAAGAGGGCGTGTACAGATTCAACTTATAGCGAAGTTCCTTGGTGTGAAACATGTTATCTACCTTTTTTTTTATCAGCAAAAGATAGTATTATTAAGTTGGAGTACAAGGGGTACTCCTACCTGTACAAAAAAAGTAGATTATAAGGGTAGGGTGATACAATCAACACATTCATAAGAAACATGTTATCTACTTGATTCGTTCATATAGCCAAAATGTGATATATACTCAATTTGCATATTGAACTACATGGAACATGTTTGTAATTATTCTCATGAATATCTGGAAAAGAATATATATTCTGTTGGAAATCATTTATATATGTTGCATTTAGGTTTAACCCTCTCCTTTCCAAACTCCTCTCCACACATCCCGGGAATCAACTTAAGATCTCTATCATGTAGATTCAAACTCTTTATTCACTGGGACATCCCCTAAGGTACAAATGTGGGATAAGATTATTGCAAACACTAGAGTTACATTCTAATACATCCTACAAAATGATATACATACACTACATCTCATACCGATTTTAAACGGGTAATTGGACCATGCGTCCTGCCGTGCCACTGATGCGGCGATCAAATAGATTCCTTCTGTGGATTGCTACAATTGCTGCGGTCCACCGTTGGAACAAGTTTATTGCCCAATTTTGCGTCATGCCAAATACCGTATTGATGGATTCAGATATTGTATTGGTGAAATTTGATACTCTGCTAATGGTAACAGACCGTCTCGGTGGTTCGTTTAAAATCAAGCAGCAAGTAAGTTGTGTAGCAAACAAGAGCCACGCAAGTAACAAGACAAAGGCAATGTATGGCTTGATGATAATTGAAAGTAGTGAAATTATCGCCAGTGAACCTGATAGGATAGAGATAGTTCTCAGAATTTGACTCCAGCGGCGTGTGCGGAAGTTGAGTCGACCTCCTCTTCTGAGGCTAACATCGGCAAATAGTGTTGTAGCACACAACACCATCATGAGACAATACGTTGACAATTTGAGAGCGCGCAAGGGCTGAGAGGGGGGCATTAGTTGTATGAAAGGTGTAAATGCCGTTAATAGCAGGCCCAATACGACTATTATTTCAGTATAGAAGGACTCCCCCCTTCTGCAACGCACCGCCAAGTGCAAAAGAAATAAGAAATAAGAATATTTTGGAATTAAAATAAAAATAGATCAAGTCTTCAAATTTTAACATTTATGTGGTGTATGCCATCAAATAAATATGAATTATTACACAAAAACAGAACTATGAGGTTTGTTTACAGTGACGTGGCTGAAGTTTTTATTATTTGCTATAAAATAATATAAAATATTAATTAAAATGATCAAAAATATATAAGATATTAAATAAAATCAATTAATTATAATAAATTTACATATTTAAATTAGATCTTGTATGAAAAAACATTGTGCACAACAATCCAAATGAAGTCTAAGGGTATGGGTTGAGGGAAACCAAAGTGAATGGAAAAATGAATTTATTGACTAATTAAATCGTAATATTGATCAACGTTATAATTTGATTAATAAAAAAAATCATTCTTCCCCTTCTTTATCCCAAAACCAAACATACTCTAAATATTTATGAGATAAAAGGGTTTTAAAAAATTTAGGTTTAGTTTAATAATACTAGCTTATAAATGCAATTGTAGGTTTTTTAGTTCTTTAATATTTCAAAAATATATAAAAAATATTTAATATTTATTTTAATTAATATTTTATATATTTTAAAATAATAAAAAAATATATAAAAAATAAAAAATTAAAACACTAAAATACTAAAACATGTACTCGTATAAAATAATAAAAAAATAAAAATTATTAAAGAGACTATCAAATTCATAAATTAATAAACAAGGAGTTTGAAGTTTTAGATAAAAATAATTTTTTAAAAAATAAGAAGATATTTTTAAAATGAGCAATGCTAGCGGCACTCGCCTCTTGCACTCTCCAACCAACACTGCCCCTTTCATTGGGCACGTAAGCTTGTTTCGGGCTGAGTCCAACCTCTCACCGACCAGAATAACGTGACCAATAAAAGTGAAAGTGTTGGCCGGAGAGTGCAGAAAGCGAGTGCCCCTGGCACTCTTTTAAAATGTAACATTAATTTTGCTCCATCACTTCGACATTAAAAAAGATGATTTTAACACATGTATCAAACAAACACTAGACTTTAAGCATTGGAGATCTAATGTTTACAACCCAAAGCAATATAAATAAGTAAATAAATAACAGTTCATCTCTTGATCACCAAGGTCAATAGTCATCATTCTAATTAAGAGTGAGAGATAAAAAATGCAAATGAAAAGAGAAGAATACAGCTGAGGGGATGACAGATAAAATGGGTACCAACCTGGTTATCCGAATATTTTGGTCACTGCGGTGTACCAACACTACCATCTGAAGAATTTGGACGTTGGGGGAAGACATTGTGGACGGTAGAGACTACACAAGACAAGAAGAGTAGCTTATGCCGGTGCTGCCCGTGGCTTTTTATGGTAGTGATCTTTGTGGGCTCCACCAATATAAGGCGATGGGATTGGCGTATGCAATTTTTGTGATCTTTGTGGGTAAAGGTCTTTGTGGGCTCCACCAATTTAAGGCGATGGGGTTTGTTAACATTACCGACGGTGGTATGCACTCTTTGTGATCTTTGTGGGTAAAGGTCTTTGTGGGCTCCACCAATGAAGGGGATGGGGTTTGTTAACACTACCGCCAGTGCTGTGTTGGTGCTGGTGCTACCGGTGGTGTGGCACTCTTTGATGGCAGTGATCTTTGTGGGTAATGGTCTTTGTGGGCTCCACCAATGGAAGGCGATGGGGTTTGTTAATACTACCGCCAGTGCTGTGTTGGTGCTGGTGCTACCGGTGGTGCTGGCACTCTTTGATGGTAGTGATCTTTGTGGGCTCCGCCAATGGAAAGCCATTAGATCAAGCAAGGGGCAAGGTGCAAGGGGCAAGGTGCAAGGTGCAAGGGGCAAGGTGCAAGGTGCAAGTGATCTTTACGCCCGTAGACTAACTAGTAATGTTCAGAAACGCGGCTACGTTTTGCTAACCCCTCAACTTTTTGTTCTGTGGCAGATTAGTCCCCCAACTGATTTCATGCACAAACTAATCCTCAACCTCATCGTCGGTGGCAAAGAAGCCCTTCTACAACGGATGATGCTATCAATCCGTTAATTTCCCACCAAAACTTAATAGACATACTCTATTAAACTTTAAAATGTTTATAAACATAAAACAAAGCATAAACATAGACCCAAAGAACTAAAATCAAAGACATAGAACACACCAAGGCAAGTAACCCCTGTAACCAATCACACAAAGAAGGAAAGATCCAGAGATTCATGTGCTGCACATCCTTGCTAGAAAATAGCTTTCCAAAAGCTTGAAATTTGTTCCTCTCATCTAGATGAAGATGAGCAAAGGCGTAGGATGAATTCAAGGACTCACAGCGACACATCAAGTTATGATATATCCAGTAACTTGCCTAAATCAGCTACCTTCAAGGAACAATTGAACCACCAAGAGGGAACATAAGGGTGAGCCAAGAGAGATGAGCTACACAAGGTGCCACTTTGAGATTGCAACCATGCCCTAAGAGGAGATGCACAAATAGAGATACAAGAAATCCATAAGCAACCCTCCATAATATCAGACTGAACCAAAACAATCTCACACCAAAACCTATCTCCCCTTTTAACTAGGTTTTTCAAAAGCCAAGAATCACCAAAAGTAACAACAATAGTACTAAGAGTCTGTTTGGTGCAGTGGTTAAAATTCAGTGGATAGTGGATAGCGGGTAGCGGGTAGCAGGTAGCGGGTAACGGGTAGCGGATAGTGGATAGCGGTGTGGGTAGCGGGTGGCAGTTAGCGGATAGCGGATGACAGATAGCGAAAAGTGGGTAGTGAATGGTAAATAGTGGATTCGATAAATATAATTGTTTAGTTATACAATAATTAATGGTTGTTGTTTAACATTAAATGACTAATAAGGACATGTTTAAAAATAAATAAATGTATTTGTATTTTTAAATATTTTTATTTATTATTATTAAAATTATTAATTTTATAAAAATAATGATAAGAAAATAAATAAATAAAATTAATTATAATAATGCAATTACACTCTCATTTTTATTTTTAAAAAAGAAAAAATTATATTATTTTTAAATAAAAAATTAATCATTTGGTCTAATTAACAAATTTTATTTTTTAAGATAATATATTTTTTAATTATAAATTAATGTACAAAAAAAAATATTCTAATCACTTAATGTTATTAAAGGTAAAAAACAAAATTGAAATTTATTAGATAAATATTAATTAAAAATGTGGCCAAAAATTAAAAAATTAAAATGGATAAATTTGTCAATAAAATTAAAAAATTCTAATTTGCTAGCGGTTTGATACAAAAAGTTACATAAACTAGTTTTTTTAATCCGCTAGCAGTTTGGAACCTAACTGCTATCCGCCAGTCTCAAACCGTTAAATAAAAATTTTACTAAATATTTTATTTGTAGTGATTTTAAAATATATAACTTTACCAAACACCTATATTTAGCGGTTTAGGTAAAATCACTATACCAAACGGGGCCTAAATCTGACATAAACAACGCAAGAGATAGGAAAAAAAGAAAGTAGGGCATAAAAGATTGGAACATTGAAGCATTTTAAAAGCAAGGTCAGCCCCAAACCTTGGCCAATATCCTCATAGGGAAGATCTGAAAAAAAAAATTGTAAAAATATTTAAAATTATATTATTTTAATAAATATTATAAAAAAAGATAAAAAGTATTTTTATTTTTATTATAAAAATTAAGATATTTTAATCTTTTTAACAAAAATTTATTAGTATTTTTTTACTTTTTTATGTCCAACTAATAAACATTTTTTTCTTTTTCTAAATGGTACTCTAAATTATATTAATGGTGCTTTTTCTTTATTAATTTGCATTTAAAATAAAAACGTAAATTTTATTTTTAATAACAATGGCATTGTAAATGTTTTTAATTAGTTAATTGATAAAATTAAAGTTAATTTTATTTTTACATAACAATTAATGAAAAAAGTATAATAATTATCTCTAAGGTAGATATTAAAAAAATATATTATTAATTAAGCAGTTTAATTAAATTTAAGAAGTAATTTAAGAGGATTATTCTAATAAAATACATTATTATTGATTAAAATAAAAATATCATTATTTTAGTAAAAATGCCATTTAAGTATATGTATAATATTAATTACTTGATTAGAAAAAATATTATCACTTAAACAAATGCCAAGTCATCACTGAGGTAAACGAAAATGCCAACTAAGGAACTTTTGCTGGGAATTTAACGGATTGACAGCATCAGGGGCATTTTGTCATTGACGGTCTAAGTTCGAGGGTTAATTGGCATATGAAATCAATTGAGGGATTAATCTGCCACTGCACAAAAAGTTGATGGGGGTAATCTAAATGTTTGCCAACTATTTAGACTTTCTCCTGCTGTGGAAAAAATTAAAAAACAAAATAAAAGCCATGAACTTTCGCCAATAATATCATGCATTGACCTGCATGAGTCATGAAGCACAGGGCCGTGTGAAGTTTCCTCCGGATACCTTAACTCTCATTCCCGTGTTTTCTTCTTTCCTTTTTGGCCATCGTTGACTGACTCATCAACTAGGACACCTATCTTCACACAAATCAAAATTTTGACACCACTAAATTGGCTTAAAAATACCCAATTACAGCCATTCTTAAGCCCAAGAAATTTTGGGCTATAAGTCCAGCCCTTACCATGAATTCATTAAGCCCTCCCCTACCTTCTCCAATAAATTGCGCTTCACCACGGAACTCCGAGGTTGATTGGTGGTTCCACTCCCATCACCCGCGTCTAATTTCTTCCCAAATTTTTTTATTTTCCTAATAGCAATTCCATTGCTGGAAAAATTCTAAATTTGGAGGATTCTGAATTCCTGTTCTACAATCAGTTAGTTCATTGCACTCGCGGTTTGTCTTAGAAGAGGAATCCTTCGATGTCATAAGGGGGGTGTGTGTGACTCCCTTTCTTCTTATATCAAAACAGATTTAGCAAAATAGATTTGGTCTGGGATGCCAACTGAGCTGTAAAGGATAATCTTTGAACGATCGATTATCATGTTTTGTCTTTTTCTCCAAGAGCAATGACACAACCAAAATCAAATGTTGTAGGAAGGTGCAAGAGTAAGTCTTGAAAATTTTTCTGCTTCACCATTTCATCTACTCTTTCTTTTTCATGCTTAATTTTTGTTCCACTTGAAGTTTTATTTGATTATGTTATTTTGGTAATATTCTTTAGCTTCTTTTTGGGGATTAAGCATTGTTTCTTACCAACAGAACAAAATAAGTCTAGAGGTAACTTTCTGCTCTTTGCACTTTATAGCCTTTGGGCTTCTATTATTATTGAAAAATATGATACAGAATGAATAAGAAATTAGAGCCCTCCTAGATGCTCTCAGTTGTGGTCATCATGGGAATACTACCATAATTGGATGCAGTAGATTGTATTTTGACTGACCTGTAAAATTTATGAGTTCCTAATTTCTCATGAGGAATAAGGATAAAAATGCAATTATCATTGATAGGAGTGTGTCCAAGAATGGTTTGGTAGAATTAGCTGACATTCCTTGGGTGGCTTACTTTGCTTAAGTTGTATTTTTTTTCCATCAAAAAGTAATTGATTATCATGTTCTTAATTTTATCCAACTTTGGTTCTATTTTGCTTCAAGATATTGTAATTCCATAAACTAATTCAGTTCTCTTATGGAAATGCCTCTTAATTTAGGTTATGATCCTCTTGCAATTAATGAGGTGATTCTAAGTGCACAATAAAACATGTATTCCAGAAAACTCATTGGAAGCCACCACTTGAAGTATAGTACAAGCGATGAAATTATACCTTGAATTAGATACCCAAACTTGAATTCATTTCCTAGAATCTCTTACCAATAGGTACAATATGCTGTTATAAAGATATTCAGAAGATTAGGTTTAAGGTAGAGTTTTAGAATTTGACTTGCATGAATTTTAGGAATTTATGTTTTCTTATTGTGCAACCAAATGGGGTTATTTATTATTATATTCTTTATTATACCAATTTTTTTTTTTAAAAAAAATAGGGTTAAAAAGATATCAATGCATTGCAGACACACAGAAACAAGAAAGGGAGTTAATTGCAAAATTGTACTAATTTAATGCTCTCTCCATGTTTAATTAAACAAAGGGATCATATTGGAAACTTGCAATCTCCCCATTGTAGCAATGGTTGTACACATAGTCGAAGATCCAAGATGCCAATGGTCCATGCAAGTTGCAATAATAAAAGAAAAATTGGCAAACAAAATATATGTTGCCTATCCATTATGTTATAATCTATCAAACATCTCACAATAAGCACATTTACAATGAAGATTACATTTAGGTAACATGGAGATGCAACGGTCACTACAACAACACAATGTACCTGTGTGAAAATCCACTTTATTGTTGAAAATTCAAACATAAGATCGACATTTAATTAAATCACAAACTATTGCTTTACCCATAACTCACTCCATAACATTGTAGAATACTTATATTATTGCAGATTAAAAAAAAAATACCTGCAATATCATGGGGATTACAAGGCAATCTAAGAAATGAAGATTTTGAATATAAAGTTCTTTTTGTGAAAATATCTAGGAGCAAACTTTATGATTACCTAAACTACTAAAGTATCCAGATGCCTTACACAAAATTGAAAACTTTATGATTTCTTGTGATGGAGACTTCTTGCTGCCAAATCTTGTACGTATATGAACAACTTCTTGCACAATCCATTTGTTTTTTCAAATATCCTGATTGCTGTTTCTGGCTGGATCTATGTGCAATTAACTTTATAAATCATCTGTTACGGCAAGAGATTATGCTATTGAAAGACTTATAGAGGCCTTGTGGGGTGATGATAATTGGTTAATTTGCTAAAAATTATTGTATTTGTTGTTAATTTTGTTATCTTTGTAGTGTTGATTCCAAGAAACATGTTGATGAAGGGTTCTCCAGATCTATTCCTGTTTGTGAAAGATGTTGTGGAAAAGCTAGGCTATCAAGCATGGAGTTAATCTTCTCATGAATTTAAAAATACTTATATCTTAAATTTTGTCTGTTTCCTACTCTGTTTGCTTTTTTGGATTCCATGATATCTATTGAAAGATATTGGTTGGTGTTTGAAGTCTATGGAGATAATTAATACAAAAGGTGTGAATGAAAGAAAGGATAATTATATGTATAATGATGGTAGTGGGTATATATTTAATCACTGCCTAGCTTATTTAGTTTAACATATAATTGGAGTTACAGTTACTCATCTTTGCTTTGACAGGCTTTAGCCTTGGAATAACCCAACAACCCTGAAAGATGACTGCCTTGATGATAACCATTTGATGTCTTCTACAATGATTCTTCTTGAAATATTTAAAGATCTAGTTTGAAAGTATTAGCTTTGACATGTAACCATGCATTTGTAATTGTATGATTATTGGTATTGGAATAAACTGATAACTTACTTTGTTGAAGGAGACCATTCACTTTTACTGAGTTGTGACTCTTTCAATTGAAATTGTCCTGCCTGCATGATTACCAAAGAAGTGATGAATACTTGTTTTGCAAAATTATACATGAGAAAGGTGATAAGATGTTTGTTAACTGTATAACATTTTCATCTTCAAATTAGATAAACATAATTAACCTTCTGTTATTACAATTCGCAACCAGGGGAAAGTGATATTCCAAGTGTGGATGCACGGCCCTCAGATGTCATAACTTTAGCTAACAGATGCAAGGTATGAACTTTTAACAGCTCAGTTATAACATTAAAACTTCGAATGGTAGTTGCTGTATTTGACTTGCTTCACATATAATGTCAGTTCCAACTTTCAAGGTTAAAAATTGTCCTGGCTTGATTTGATTTGACTTGACTGAGCTAGTTTAATCATTTGAATGAAGCATGATATTGTTATACTTTATCAGGCTTATTGAGTTTTCATCTCTGTTAAGCATACTCAAAAGTTATCTTCTTTTGGACTGCAATTAGCAATATGCCTTGCAATTTGCCTCTCTTACTCCTTGTACCCCCTAGCCTTTGGCCTCCTGTCCTCTCAGCTTTGCATCCACTTGTGTTATAGCTTTGATTAGCTGTTAGCTTCTCCTAGGCTCTTGAGTGAAATTTGTCATATGCAGGCTCCAACATATGTAAATAAGCAAATTGTCTTGGCAGATGCTGTTAGAATAGGCAGAGTGCATGATAGAAAGCCAACTTATGATGTATTCCTTGACAGGTATTGTCCACGGTTCCTCCATATTGTCTCCCCTTATCACTTATCTTACAGTAGTCTAACAGTTGGCTGTATCTTTTCCAGTGCTGCAGATGGTCCAGATTTATTGTCTAAAGAACTGGAATTGGTTAGAAATATTGATTTAGCAGTCAAAGAGGAAAGATATGATGATGCAGGTGACAAGAATAGGAATATTAAGAGTTTACTTAAGATACTGATTTTTTCCATCGCTATTTTCTCCTCTCTTTCTTTCTCTCTTTTTTTTTTTTTTTTTTTTTTTTTTCTTTATTTTGGTTCATTTGTTCACAGCAACCTCTTTTAATGCTACACTTCTCCTTTCTGTTTATCAATCATGCATTGTTGCTCTTGCAGTCTAAAATGGACTTATAATTGCCTATTGGTTGTTGAAGCAATGTGGAGAGACTAGATAATGAAACTTCACAATTCACAAGATGATCACTAGCTGCCCCTCAACATATGTCCACTCATCTTTAGGTGCTGGTTAATTGGCTTATAGGCACTCTCTTTTTGGGAGTGCAATGCTTGACCAAGGGTGTACGGATAAATCATTCTGTTTGGTGGCAGCCCTGATGACTGTAGTTCAGATGTAGTTTGACATCACCAGGGATTTGTAGGATGAACACTTGCCAGAATGGAAGCTGTGGAGTCCTTTGGCCTAGCATTTCTCAGTAATAAGGTAGTATGCTAGGAACTATACTAGTGTAATTTAAGATGGTTGCTTGAAAGAGGGCGTGTACAGATTCAACTTATAGTGAAGTTCCTTAGTTTGAAACATGTTATCTACTTGATTTGTTCAGATAGCCAAAATGTGATATATATTCAATTTGCACATTGAACTACGTGGAACATGTTTGTAATTATTCTCATGAATATCTGGAAAAGAATATATACTCTGTTGGAAACCATTTATACGTTGCGTTTAGGTTTAACCTTCTTCTTTCCAAACTTCTCCCCACACATCTCAAGAATCAACTTAAGATCTCTAGCATGTAGGTTCAAGCTCTTTATTCACTGGGACATCTCCTAAGGTACAAATGTGGGATAAGATTGTTACAAACACTAGAGTTACATTCAAATACACCCTACAAAATGATATACGCACACTACATCTGACACCAATTTTAAACAGGTAATTGGACCATGCCTCTTCCGGTGCCACTGATGCGGCGATCAAATAGATTCCTTCTGTGGCTCACTAGAATTGCTGCAGTCCACCGTTGGAACAAGTTTATTGCCCAATATTGCATCATGCCAAATACTGTATTGATGGATTCAGATATTGTATTGGTGAAATTTGATACCCTGTTAATGGTAACAGGCAGTCTCGGTGGTTGGTTTAAAATCAAGCTGCAAGTAAGTTGTGTAGCGAACAAGAGCCAAGCAAGTAACAAGACAAAGGCAATGTATGACTTGATGATAATTGAAAGTAGTGAAATTATTGCCAGTGAACCTGATAGGATGGAGATAGTTCTCAGAATTTGACTCCAGCGGCGTGTGCAGAAGTTGAGT